CAGTACCATAAGGCGAAAGTAGTGTCGCTAAGGGGAAACTAAAGCGACGTTAAGGCGAAATCATAGACAAAAGAATTTCCCCTTAAGAGCCGAATAAAGGTAGTATATATATATATATATATATATATTATGCAATTATAAGAGCAGGTGTAGTAGTATTAGATTTATATTTAAAACAGTACAGTTAATCATTATTACTTTTGTAACTACAAAGTCACAGCCAATACCATTCCTCCATGTGGCAATGCAATATCCTACCTCATGACCTTGTAAAAACATTGTGCAACTTCAAAGACAACAAGTTTTATCAATGATACATGGCAGAACATATGTGTAGGTTAAAGGGTCAGATAAGAATATTAAAGGTTACAATCTGCTTCCTTTTACACGCAGACTATATTTATAGGTGTGACACACTTATTTTTTATCACAGGTAGAAATACCATTATGATATGATGAAAGTCTCATGTATCTTGCATGTTAGTTATAACTGTGCAAGTTATAATTTTTACAGTGGTGGATCAAGGAATTTAAAATAAAGGGGGCCCAGAAAGGGACTTTTAAAGATGAATGGCTAACAGTATAAGGACTATAGAACACTCAATAATATGAATATAATTTTCTTTTTTTTCTGGATTTTTTTTTGTTCAAAAGTTTGGGGAGGTGGGCATGCTGGCTCCCTCCAATTGAATCTGCCACTGTTGTAGGTTGGTTACAGTAACATAGTGAATTTGGCATAAGGCCAAATCTCATGAGAGTAGGCCTATAGCTATAGAAATGAAGCCTTACCTGTTATATTAATACTGGTGATGCCAAAAAAGTGTATTATCTAAGCCCAAATTATTGAAAATCTAAGGTTGAATTTTTTGCAAAAATAATTTTTTTTTTTAAACTGAAGAAGAGCCTGTTGTATATGAATTTATACTGCATTGTTTACTAAGGGTATAAGGCCAGTGATCAGTCAGTGCAAGTGTAAACTTATCCACTTCCTTGGAAGTACCTATTTATGCTGCAATCCACAACAATTTATAATACAGTACAAATATTATATACTTAATTTACAAAGTCTTAACACAATCATAGTTGTTGAATTTTCATGTATATTCATGCCAGTTTCCAAGAGCTTTTTACATGCTTGCGGAAGTGCATGAGGCTATCCAGATTTCCTGAAAGGTTCCTATGGCTCGCAAGATACATGGACCCCTGCAAAACACAGCAAAATTTGTTGTAATCAACTTACTTGGAAACCACAGAAGACGCCAGAGATTTTCTAACATTGATTCCAGTCAAATGGCTTTCAAAGCTGCTTGCTGATTGGATAAGAGAGCTATCAGCTGACAACTGATAAGCTGCTCTGACCTCTGATGTGATGTCAATATCCATGATGCGTTTTGGATGGTAGAACTTGACATCTGATTCCGTTGTGCAGGTACTTGCTTTCTTTACTTTCTCAATACTATTGCCCTTAGCAGTATACGTCACCTGACATTCCCCCGATGCATCAGTCTATGTTAAAAATTTGAAAATTTTAATTTCCAATATAATAAATTAAAAAATAACCATAAAAATGTAGTTTGTTCACTAATCAAGTAATTAGTTAATATTTAAGCACATTGCCAGAAACCACTGTAACCCATATTAGTACTTCTGTATGAATAAGGCTGTTGTGATTTTGTGTATCAAATTTGCCTGTAACTTGCCTATTTTTTTATGATTACATAATTTAAAAAATAGGCTCCCAGCAGAAACGTGTGTCTACAGCCTATTAGTGTACATTACTGTGTATCTTGAAAAGTACTACCCCATTCTAGAGGGCGCCCTTCAAAATACCATAAAACGCGTTACTGTTTCTCTCTGACGCATGTTCGAGTTTCAAACACAAGTTTGTTGAGATCCATTAGAGCGCCCCCCTACCTCGTGGTAGTAGTAACAATCATGCACCTCCACCGGATTTACTCACTCTTACAGGTTTAAGTGCCCGGCGATAACATAGTGTCTATGCCCCGAGAGGGCAATAGAAACAAAAAAGTCATATATAGAAAATAATATCTATAGAACACCTTGTAGCTAATAATGACATTCAAACATTGGTACCCACTGCTCTTGAGTTGAGTGCCTGGCCCAAAAACAAAAACAATTGTACAGAGTGGAACCAAACCCCTGAAATTTTAGTTACAATACCTCAGTCACTTTGCCATCTGCCAATTGTATTTGTAGTAGACTAATCAGGCCACGTTTTACATTCAAGGAACCTGATGCGTCCTTTTCGTTAGCGTAGACTGACCCAACTCTACCATCATTCCATTGGAAGAATACCGAGTAGGGTGAAACTGCTTGTAATGTACGAGGTACATTTGCAAATGTATTTCGATCCTCTGGCCTCTCAGAGACATTAGAAAGTTTTACATCTTGAACCTGGAAAAATGAAAAAAATAAAAATAAAATATATAATTTATTCACTATTATACTCATCTATACTTTCTCAATATATATTCGTCAAATTCGTTAATAAGTAACTAGCTCCCTTTTTTGGGCCTCCTATTATAACCTTCTTAAGTTTCTTGGAGGTCCCTTGCATCTTTTTTATTTCAATTTTATTGCTATTTTACATATTTTATGTGTGTGCTTTGGCTGAATAAATGATTGATTGATTGATTGATTGATCTACTTCATGATAACCTGATTAATTCTGTCATTCCATGAAGTGATAAGATTTGTCTATCAAATTCCCATAACAAGCGTCTTCAGTCTTTCGTTCTAATGGGCATTAAGTTCTTCAACATGGACTTTTAGTGACAAAATGACGGTTTTGATAACGATGATACTAATGATGCATCAACGAAAAATGGGGAAATTTAGGCATATGAGGTTTGTTAAAGATTTTATAGAATGTAATATTTTGTGTAATTGTAATGGAATTTGTAACTTGTTTTGTGCAAATTAATTGTTAAATGAATCCAATAATTGACTTACTGTTAATTGAATTAATTGATCTTGTTTATTAGCACTATTTTGCCATGCAACCACAAGGTCTACATTTGAGGACAATTTAAATCCAGCTTCGGAGTGTCCGATAGTGTCTTTGGTTAGAGAAGGGTCATCAACTTTAACCTCTGTCTCATAACTGTACCTGTACTTCTTTCCAAGTTCATAGTTCAAAGCAGAACCTGCAAGTGAAATGTAATAAGTAATATCTATTTATAAAGAAAGTATACACCATGAAAGCAACACATGCTCGAATCATATTTTGATGATTAATGACAATGGAAAATAGAATGTTATCCATCATTTTGTAGAGCTTTATTTCCCCCGCTAGCACCCTCTGACTTAACTGTCTAACTCTCTCCACATAATATTAGTACTCTCCAACCAATAAATTGGGTGCCAGTGGCTGGTTGCATGCTCATGTGAATTTTTGTACCAGCTAAAGGAATTGACAACATATATATATAACACCTGAGAAGAAGTTTAAACGTGTGACATTCTTCCGAGCATGTACCTGATGATTTCAATGCAGATCCAGGAATTTGAAATAGAGGGGCCCAGGAAGGGACCATCACAGATTGAGGGTCTAAACCAAATCAGCCTCACCATGGTTGGGGGATGAGGTAAGAAAATTTACGATTATGCCATCTTCAGAAATGGCACTCTCAGACTTAAATTTCAATTTGAATATAATTTTCTTTTATTCTCCATTTTACAAAATAATTCTGAAACATTTAAGTTGGTGTGGGGGTGCAAATCTAACTGAGTAATTAAAGCCTGGTCTTCTGACAATTATCTGTATTGAAAGAAGATCTAATTAATGGCACATCACATACTGCTTTTGTGAGGTAAAGTAATTAATCACATTGCTCCTTCTGTGATTGAAGGAAACCTTGCATTTGGCCCAATGGAATTTAGCTAATGATTATATTCTTTTATAACTACAGACCATTATGGCATTGGCCAATCAGAGATTATCAGCTTGCATTGTTGTGCAATGTTATATACCAACACTTAATTTTCATGGAACAATGAACATCACATGACCGAAGCTTTG